CCAAAAGTGCTCTAACACCTATTTACATCTTGTTCAACTCCTGCTTCTACCAAGATAAACAAAAATAGAATCAAACACTTTATTTCTATGCCTCTTCCACTGGCTTTGTAGAGTTAGTAAACAAACAAGAATGAAATTATTCTTCGTAGGCTACTCTGCCTGGTTTATTTCTGGTTTGTGTTTTAGTGTTTGTTCACGGACAGAATAAGCCACTCTCAACTGGGGCTGTTGCAGAGCCTTCCCTCACTTTCTTCCACAAGCTATTTGTTCCCATCCCTTCCCTTGTACCCACAGTAATACTCTGGGCAACTGAGCAATGAAAGGGGTCAGGGAGCTTAGTTGTAATAAAACCAGGCAAATATTGGGAGAACATACAGAAGCTTAAAGCCATAAGTAATAGAACTAAAGATAACTTAATTTTGAGTACTGTAATGTCAATTAATTTGGTGTCTTTAATAGTGCTTTAGTTACTGTAAAGGCAACTGTGACAAGCCACTCTCCTGCTAATCTGCATGATGTCCAGCAGATAGTGAGCCATTGCCTAACCTCAGAAATGTCCAAATGGAGCTATGGAATTACTCCAGTCCTTTGTGGGTTTGGCAAAGATCTTGTAGGATTTCTAGTGACGTATGCTGGGCCTGACTCAAATCCCAGCAATGGAAATTTCTTTGATTTGGCTTATTGTTGTTTCTGACCCTGTAAATGTGGGAAGTATTCAGGCATTAAAAAGACATTGTTTCCCTGACATATCAGTTGGTCCCTGCTGTTTACATCAATTGAAACAGAATTAAAATTCCAATTTGATTTTTCCTCCTTCAAAGCACATAAAATAGCATAAATTCAATGCCCGTCCAACCATCATGTTGGATGGTTTGTTATGTACACAGCAGGATTTGAGTTTCTTATGAGAAAATTGAAAAAAATGGTTCAGATCTCATAAGTCCCATTCTCCTATCATTGTCTGTAAATAACTTCAGAGAAGCTCTTTCCATTTTCTCCCCTCGTCTCCTTCATAATAATTCTTTAAATAGGTTACTTCTACATTTTAATTTTTCTACCTTTTTCATTTTTGTTTTACCCATCCTTTTGTAAGGGCCACCCTACCATCACTTTTGCATGTTGTTAACACGGAATCAATGGAAGATCACTCTCCTGCCAATTGAACTGGTTTCTAGCAATCAATATTTATGGCCATAGATAACACAAGCTGCAGTTCATATCCATTCTTTCCACAAAACTTTGTTTCAATGAAGTGACCATACTTCCCTTGTACAGGTTGTACTGTCTTCCAGCCCCACTTTTAAACACTTAAGATTTCTCTGCACATCCACAAAGTAGTATTTATTTTGAGTGTAAGCCAGTAAGTATGCATGCTATTGGCTTAAAGGTTCAAACTGTCATCAAATGGAGTTTCTCCCTTTCTAATTTGTCTTGGTTACAAATGTGCACTGTGAGCAAATTGCCTTCCTCTTGATAGTCTCTTCAGTTTGCAACACTGCCATCACATAAAGAAAGCTACTTGTTTTATGCCAGGAAAAAAAAGCAGAAAATGGCCCACGTGTCGTTTTCTATTACCTGTGCCAAATTAGGACCTTTGTAACATTGGGAGGAAGCTCAGGAGCTTTATCTCTTTTGTTTGTCTTTCACACCAAAGGAAATTACAATTTGAGGAGTTACCTGTCCCTGAGACAGTTCCAACAGCCCCACTTTAATGATTGATAGTCGCAGGGAAACATAAACTCCTTTCTAATTGCAGATTTTCCTAGGACTACCTATTAAGCAGGTAGGTATACCAACACCTGATGATCAGTTTGCTGTTCTCACACTGCACACAAAATTGTTGTAGTTTGCAATGTCCTTATTTCTTCTCTTCCAGACATGCTCCTGTGGGGTACATCAGAGTGCACAGTGCATGTGGTCTCACCAATTTACCTGCATTGCTCGTGGTGAGACTGTAGTGCTTTGTGTGTGTGTTTTTGGAATTTTAGTTCAACCTTAAAATCTTAAATTTCAAGGTGAGCGTTTTTAGCAATTACAGGAAGCTCCAGCATGTACCATTGAAACATATCTGCTCCAAAGTAAGCTCTAAGCTTTTAAAAGAAGGTGGCTGTGGAAGTGCAAATGACTACTGAGGAGATGCAGTTACTGTATACAGGAAGCTCGGATCAAGTTCAAATGAAAGCTCTGGGCACCAGTTCTTAGCAACAGATTTTAAAGCAGTTGTAATCTTCAAAGCTATCTATCTCTACAGCAGAGGCCCTGGGTATTATATACCTAATGAGTTAGACCATTTGAGCAACCTTCTTTCACATTAAAAAGGTACTTTAACTTTTTCTTTTGCCAGGTTAACTGTGCAGTCTATTTTTGACAGATGAGATCAGCTATATGGAATTTTAATACTCTATTTCTTCTAAAATGTGTCTCTATTTCCTTGGGCTGGAATGGAAGTTTTAAGACTGTTGAGGTTGAAAATTGGTTGTGTAATATTACTATTACTGTTTTGGGGTGTTTTTCAGTAACTATTGGCCATGTGCATAAAGCACAAATAAATAAGTAAAAGTAGAAATAAAGACATGATCTTGTTCCCAAAGAATTTCCAACTAAGGTCCTGATCTAGTAAAAGAGTTATGTGTGTGCCTTGTGAGGTTCCACTGACCTCAGTGGGAGTATTCAAAGGAGTTTAATATGTGTATAAACCTTGCAAAATTAGGAGGTAAAATATAGTGTGTTAAAATTTACTCTGCTTTAATGTAGATTCCTTTTGTTGGTCAAAATAAGTATAGAGTATTCCAGTTATTTTAAAAGATCTAAATCTCATTAGAAAATAATTAAACTATTACTTGACACAGGCACCAATTCATTGTTTTTTTTTCCTAAAAGCAAGAAAGGAAGGTGAAGTTCAAAATTTCAAAATAGCTTTCATATTCTACAGTACAATGCAAAAAAATTAATACTCTAACAGGAAAAAATCTAGATTCTTATCCAATGGTCACTTAAATGAGAATACTTTAAGGGAGTGTAAACCTTTGCTTCATTAAATATTGGAACAAACCATACAGTTGAATGTGCACAAAAGTTAATGTTATCCTGCACTTTCAGGAGCATTCTACCATGGGCCAAGATGTGGCCTTATTTCTACTGATAAAAACTAACCTGTGCAAGTGCCTGTGAAAGAATGTGTATGTGGAATGAGTTAATAATTATGATGACAGAACCACAACACATTAAAATTACCTTAACAGGCAGCATTCATGAACATGTCTCAGAAGTGTCTTCAAGGAGTTTAAGACCGAGGATGTTAGGATGATGAAATAATTATTGAAAAATTATTAAATGTGACTATTCAGGTTTTGGTAATGCAAGGAAAAGACAACTCAGCAATATTAGGAAAGATACCTGAAAGATTTATTTTGCTATGTGTATGTTTCATATAGTTTTATTAAACATGTCTTTTGCTGAAGTATCATTACACTAAATTTTTTAATCTTGAAAGAGAAAGCATTTGGCTCAGAGTTCAATCAAGTACTGCTGGCATTCCTGGAATGACAACTTTAATCCCTTCATTGTTCACTTATTTAATGCCTTAAATATATTCTCGTGGTAAATCCAGCACCGAGGACAGAGACTTAAAACAGTTTATTCCTTTAATTAGAAATATGTATCCGTACCACAACAAAAACATAATTTAAAATAGAACAGTAATAACAAAGTATGAATGAATGCTAATTGCAATATAACTATGAGGAAACCACTAATATACAGCTAAGGCTGAATTGATGGGAACTGAGCTGAAAGCAGAGTAGTAATCAACATGAGAAGAAAGCCTGATACTCTGGAGTAGATAGGAAAAATAGTTCTGGTTGATTAAGTTTCACTCTGCTGGGGTGAGGTAGGATTTTGAAATTGCTTTCTTTGGAGGCTGTGTCAGGGAATGAATGTGCTTCTGGTCAGTGAAAGGACAGTTAAAAACTACATGGTGTCTGCTGGATCCCAGAGCATTGGGTGGCACATATGTATGCCTAAGCACATTTATATAAACACTGCTACTAGCTATTTGGTCAAAAGCTTTCCCCTCTGTGCCACACAGTCTCATGCAGCTAGGCCACTGCATAGAACGTGATAACAAAGTTGCCTCGATAACAAAGGTTATTTCACAAAATTCATTCTGGAATCAGATTACAAACACTGTGATACATTTTGCAGGTACTGATGTGACACTGTCCCAGCGCAGGATGGCAGCAGACTGGAGGACCTGGGCAGTCAGCTTTCTGTTCTGCAGAGGAAACCATAGCTGCACACTCCAGGTGTAAGGAGGTTGCTCTGCCTACACATGGAATTGTGGTCATAGGACATCCACAGCATCACAGAAACACAGAATATTCTGTGCTGGAAGGCACCCCCATCAGGTCCAACTCCTGGTCCCACACAGGACACCCCCAGAGTCACACCGTGTGCCTGGGAGCTGTGCCCAAACTCTTCAGCTCTGTCAGGCTTCGTGCTGCGGCTGCTTCCCTGGGGAGCGGTGCCAGTATCCATCTCTGGGGAAAGAACATTTTCTAATATCCCACCTAAACCTCCCCGACACAGCTTCAGGCCATTGCCTCGGATCTTGTCCCTGTCACCACGGAGATCAGTGTCTGATCCCACGGATGGCATTGCCTAGGGGAGTATCACACCCCTACTCACACGCTACCTCTGGTAGCGCCTACTCAGCTCGCAGCGCAGATGTGGTTCATCTATCAACTCTAATTAACCCGCCTTGCACCAGCACTGCTTGGCTACACCTGGCAGGACGCTCTAGAGGGCCGTTACGCCGAACATGCTCCAATTTCCGTGCAGCGTTTAGGCAGCACTGGGTATACCTGCAGGCTGTGCCGGACACGGCTGCCGCTCCGTGCCGTGCCGTGCCGTGCCGTGCCGTGCCGCGCAGGCCGCAGTCAGCCGGGCGGCCCCGGCCTGGCGCGGCCTCGCCGCCCCTCCCCGCAGCCGGAACGCGCCGCGCGGGGCCGCGTTGCGCGGGGAAGGGCGCGCGGCGGCACCGGCGGCCGCCATGGCGGTGGACATCACCCTGCTCTTCAAGGCCAGCGTGAAGACCGTGAAGACCCGCAACAAGGCGCTGGGGGTGGCGGCGGCGGCGGGGGACAGCGCCAGGGACGAGCTGCTCAAGCGGGGCACCGCCCGCTCCAAAAGCGACTTCACCGGCAGGGCGCGGGAGGTGGTGAGTGCGGCCGCGGGGGGAGGGCGAGGGCAGCCGGGGCGGCTGCAGCGGCTCCTCCCGGGCGGGCAGCCCGGCCCTCGCCGCCGCCTCGGAGCGTCCGGCGCTCCCCGGGGAGAGCGGGCGGGCCCCGGAGCCGGCCGCAGAGAGCCGCGGGGCAGCGCTTTCCCACGCGGCTGTGGCCTGGGAGAGCCGGGGCGGCCGGGGCCGGCTCCGAGCCCGCCTGTCGCCCGCGTTCCCCGCGGCGCGGCTTCTCCCGGGGCCCTCCTGCCGGGGCTGCGGCCGCGTCCGTGCGGATCCGCCGCCCTCCGGCCGTGCCTGCGTGCGCACGGCTGTTTCCTGCCGCCGCCGCCACGTAACACAGCGCTGCCATGGCACACGCGTCCGGCCGCGTCCGGCGCTGCTCCCTGCGCGCTGCTCCCTGCGCGCTGCCTTCGGCTCGGTTGTTTGCGCTGTCACACGGTGTGGCAGCGAAGGGCCAGCCCTAGGCACATTGCATGTACAAAGGTCATCGGAACGTTTTAAGGTTTGCAAAGACAAGCACTGAATAGTTAAGGAATTTCAGAGGTGAAAGCTGATGGGCATTAACAGCGCTCCTCAGGCCATAGTCGTTCTGTAAAAACAATTTTGTTGGATATTGTGTTTCTCCATTCTGAGTCAAAGGCAGGGTTTGAATAATATATCTTTGATAAAGCACTGGACTGTATTTTGAAAAACTAAGGAACTCTGAGAAGACAGACTTACAGACTGGATTTGCAAGTTTGGGACTAAATGAGAAATGGACAAGTGGTTTATAGCAGCAGAGGAAGCACAAGGAAATCTGAGGTTTTTCGGTTCCATTATAGATACTCTTATAGCCACAGATTTATTTGTTCCCTCTGAACAAGCCTTTTGCCCCATTGCCTCTAGTATTATCTCTGTCTGCATTTTGATTCCTCCTTCTCAGTTTCTGTGTCTGTATTTCAAATTATTTAGAGTCTCAGACTAGGTTCATGCCAACTTCTTCCTTCCTTCTAGTCTTTGCTCCCCATTACCTTTCTGCTACCAGGGCTTCTTTGCTTTTGCCTATTCCCAAGTTTGGTTTTGATTTTTAAAGTTCTATTCATACTCAAGCCTACCCTCATCTCCGTCTTTCTCCTTGCCCTGCTGTGCTCCTGTGCAGTGATAGCATGCTATAGCTGTCTTTTTTTTTCTGCCCTGGTTCTTTGGCTTACCACTGTTTACAGCCGCTGTTTCATGATGATCCCAGTGTTTTCTCTGAGCTCCTCACCCTTTCTGAGTTTCCTTAGTGCAGACAACAGAAGGAAGGATGAAGGCGTGGAGAAAAATGTCATGTTTAATTTGTAAGAGCATCAGATGAAGTAAACAGCTAGTGCCAAGGGGGATGAGCTGAACTGTCTGAGGGGGACAATGGTTTTAATTAATGGTACTTACATAAACAAGGACTTTGGAGGAGAAGCAAAGCTACAACGTGTTCCTGTGTGAACACGTGGCTGTTGACAGCTGGTCAGTGAGAAGGAGCAAGGTGGACTGGCCTTGCTCTGTAACTCCTCTGCGACAGTGAGCCAACAGCCCACCAGACCACAGAACATCATTTTGATGTGTGAATAGAACACTGAAACTGCAGCCAGAAGAATTAAGATTTATAGTAAAATAAATGATGATTTTACCTGTTTGTTTCAGCCAAATACAGTTCAGTTTGATCATCTTATGTGTCAAACCCTCTAATAGTAAAGACCCTGAATAAGCTACATTTAGCCACCACTTTCTTTATGCCTTACTTGGTTGCAGAATAGAATATTTCAATTGGAAAGGACCTACAGCCATCATCTGCTCCAACTACCTGACCCCTTCAGGGCTGAGCAAAAGGTAAAACAAGTTATTAAGGGGATTGTCCAAATGCCCTTTGAACACTGACAGGCTTGGGGCACCAGCCACCTCTCTGGGAAGCCTCTTCTGGTGTTTAACCACCTACTCATTACAAAATGCTTCCTAATGTCTAGTCTAAGCCTCCCCTGGCACAGCTTTGAACCATTCTCAGTCATCCTGTCCGTGGATACCAGAGGGAAAAGATTGGCACTTCCTTCTTCATGTCTTCTCCTCAGGAAAATGTAGAGCAATGCGATTGCTCTTCAGCCTACTTTTATCCAAACTAGAGAAGCCCTAAGTCCTTAGTGCAAGTTCTCCATCTGACATGCAAATATGGAAGTAGTGAAATAATAGAGTCTACACTACTCTAGAAAGAAGTACTCCTTTCAACATTATATTCTGCATGGTTTTGCATAGCATCTTGCAGGTAGAGCTGTGCTGATGCTGCTTGTGCTCCAAGCTCCAGGAGTAGCAGCCAACTGTTCACAGCTGCAACACAGCTGGAGTGTGGGACTGGGCAGGCACTCAGCTGTAGGATCAGAGATCTCTCTAGCCCATCGCAGAGAAGTTTTGTGTCACATAATTAAGGTGTTTGAGCACTTTGCTGAACTGTATTAAGCGATATAAGTACCTTCAGGGGCAGAAAGGAGAAAGAGAACACTCAATGCATACATTGAGTGTTCTCTTTCTCCTTTCTGCCCCTGAAGGACTTTTGCTGTAGGATCTGAGGACTGTGGAAGCTTCTTTGGGTTTTGACTTCTTTGTATACAGTCTCTTAAGTGATGTTTAAGAGGGAAGATTGAGGGTGCATAGTGTTTGGAGAAGAAGCTGACAAGATTGTAGCCAGTAATCCTACACAGCTTCTGTATTTATGGTAAAGGATCATTGCAACTGGGAGATAAAGTTAAAAATTCCTATTTTACATTCTCAAACTTAACATGATTTTTTTAGGTGGATTGAAGGACGCACAGAGAATGTAGAATATAAGAGTTTTTACTTGAATCGATATTGTGTGGGGAAGCTGGGTTAGAGATGTGTGGTCTTGATGTTTTTTGTTAATCACAAGAAAATACTTCAGCATTCTGTATTAATTTGTATTTTTTTGAAACTGGCTATTTTATTCTCAGGTATACTGCATTGCTGCAGTCCCTGAGGAGCTGATGGAGGTTTTTGTATTTGAGACTTAAGTTCTTAACACAAGGAGCTCATCCATAACCATGGTAATGTTAGTTGCAGAGATTGGTGTTGTTGATGATATTATTAAACTCTCATAAAACTGTTCCATTAATATAAAGCATAGATGAATGTTATGGCTCCGAGCTGCTGAAAGGATTTTCTTTGTCCTGACAGTGACCTATCACTTTTTATTTGGTTTGGGGTTTTCTTGGTCTTTCAGCTGCCATTGTACAGTGTTTGGGCTATCTGATACGTAATGTGACTTATACTTTTTTATGGTGAATATTTTTGACACCTCTCAATCTCTTCACCATCTACATATTGACTAGGACCAGGTAAGAAATTATTGTTAAGAATCAACAGAATTCTGTAGCTACAGGAAGGCTACAGTTACAGTGGCAGACTTTCCATTACTTGGAATTTATGGAACACTAAGAGTTTGTTATATGTATGTTAGTGCTTTTTAGTGAATGAAAACAAATAATCTTCTCTCTCTTAGACTTTATAGTGAAATGGCTATTTAAAATGCAGTATCCAGGGTGCCTAAAGTTTGCATTTCTTCATACTTTTATATAGGCTTATGTAGTTTTAGCAGTTTTATCCTGACTGGATGCCAGGTACCGCCAAAGCTGCTCTATCACTGCCCTCCTCATCTGGGCAGGAGAGAGGAAATAGAGGGAAAGGCTCATGGGTCATGGTTAGGACAGGGAGTCATCTCTCAGATATTGGGTCATGGGCAAGACCAACTTGAGTTGGGGAAAATGAGTTTAATATATATTAATGAGAAATGAACCAAAATCTTAAAAACATTTTTCCCCCACTCTTCCCATCTTCCCAGGCTGAGCTTCTCCCAGTTCTCTATTTCCTTCCCACAAGTGGCACAGGGGGACAAGGAGTGGAGGCTGAGGTCAATTCCTCACACTTGTCTCTGCTGCTCCTTCCTCTGCAAGGGAGGACTGCTCACACTGTTCCCCTGATCCAGAGGAGTGTCTCTTCCACAGGAGACATTCTTCCATTAACTGCTCCAGTGTGGGCTTTTCTCTCCACAGGTCCTGCCAGGAGGCTGTACAAACTTCCCATGGGGCACAGCTGCCTGTGGGTATCCACCTGCCCCACCATGGAGTCTCCATGGGCTGCAGGGGCACAGCTGCCTTGCTGTAGTTTGCACCAGGGGCTGCAGGGGAAGCTCTGCTCTAGCACCTGAAGCACCTCCTGCCCTTCCTTGTGCACTGACCTTGGTGTCTGCCGGGCTGTTCGTTTCACGTGTTCTCATTCCTCTCTCCTGCTGCAGTTACTGCTGTGCAGTAACACTTTTCACCCCTTTCTTAACTCACCTATCCCAGAGGCACAGCCGCTGTTCCTGCTGGGCTCATCCTTGCCCAGTGGCATGTGTGTCCTGGAGCCAGCTGGCATTGCCTCTGCTGGACATGGGGGAAGGTTCTGTTCTGGCAGCTTCTCACAGAAACAGCCCCTGTAGCCCCCTGCTACCAAAACCTTGCCACACAAACCCAATACATTTGTTCCTTGGTATGGTGTCAGGTTTGGGATTAAGCTAAATGATTGAAGAATTTTAAAGATTAGAGCAAAAGTATTTAAGTAAAAAACATGGGCTTGCAGTAAGTGCTCAGTGACAAACATAAGCAGTTCAGACCCCCAGTTTGTGACTCTGGTTCACACCTTTACAATGCCTTAAATCTGTTGTTTTGGATGTTTTAAAAGATTGTCAGTTTTGGAAAGTATTTGACATTTGAGCTGCTGTTTTAGGACAGTATTAGGAAATGTGACTCCTAAAGGCCTTCCCTTTTACTTTATTATGGCAAGTATGTGCAATTGGGAATATCATCTGTCAAATATACTTCTTAGATATTTGAAAATATAGAAGGAACAAGAACTATATGATTGCTGACTGTTAAATTTGTGTTGGAGAAATGGAATCAAGGCTGATACAGCCTATAAAC